CCAGAGCTCCTTGACTCATACATAGCAACATGTATTACAGAACAGAACTGCTCTATAGGGTTTTTTGGATATTTTTTGTTTTAAGTTGAAGATGCATCTTTCACAGGATCATAGACTTTATTATTGTTTTCTTTAACATTTTATTGTGCTTTAGGATAAAGTTTACAAAGCAAACTTATTTGTCATTCAACAATTCATATACAAATTTTTCCGTGACATTGGTTGCTGTCCAATAAAATGTCAGCACCCTTCCGGTTTTCACCCTGCCATCCCTGATTCCATCCCTCCAGTTTCCCTGCCTCTTTTTTGCCTTTTCTTCTTTGCTTTTGGACAATAGATTTTTCTTGGCTGTAATGTTAATTTTAGTAATGTAATTACCAGCCCTTTTGTCCACAGTGCCACTGGGTGGGTTCCAACTACCAATGTTTTCTGTTGTTTTTGTTAAGTGCCATCGCGTCAATTCCAACCCATAGCAATCTTGTATAGGGTTTCCAAGGAATGGTTGGTGAGCTTGAACCACCGACCTTGCAGTTCAAGTGACTTGCATTCCCATGCATTAATCCACACCGCCACACCAGGACTCATATGTTGTTGTTATGTGTTATGGAGTCGGTTCTGACTCATAGCAACCCTGTACAGGGTTTCCAAGGCTGTAAATAAATATGGGAGCAGAAAGCCTCATCTTTCTCCTGAATAACAACTGGTAGTTTCCAACTGCTGTGAAACACAAGATTGACAGTTTGAGCCCATCAGTTGCTCTGTGGTAGAAAGATGAGGCTTTCTGCTCCCGCAAAGATTTACAAACCTCAGAAACCTTATTGTTGTTTGTTGCTGCTAAGTGCCATCGAGTCCGTTCCAACTCATAGCGACCTTATATAGGATTTCCGGGGTGAGCTTGAACCACCGACCTTGTAGTTCAAACCGACCTTGCAGTCCAGTGCATTAACCCACAATGCCATACCAGGAAAACCTATATAGGGTAGCTATATATATGTTGTTGTTGTTAAGTGCCAATCAAGTTGGTTCTGATTCATAGCGACCCTGTAACTTTTCAGAGGAGTGGCTGGTGGGTTTGAACTGCCAACCTTTTGGTTATCCTACAGAGCCCAGTACTGCAGAATGTGGTGCAGTACTGCCTGTTGCCTCGCAGGGGCAGCAAAGGATCAAGAAGACGAAGTTGGACACTCAGGAAGTACAAAGTTGCTGAACTCTCATCTCCTTCTCCTGAGTCACCCAGGTTGGCAGTGTGTTCCTACAGAGTTGACACTTGGCCACAGTTAGTGATGAGTTGGAGATCTTGGGTCAGTTTTCAAACAACGTTGGAGCATAGACAAGTTAGAAGCAAGGCAAGAATGCATGGAGTCATTCTGCGAAGAGTCTTGAAAGGCAAGATTGTAGCACAGACTTGGTCTAGATCTGAGCTGTTCCATTTAGCAATCTGAAGCGAAAGAGCACTTGAAATGGGATTATTATGAATTGGGATGTACTGTGAGTGGACATTTTTTTTTAATGAATGTAAAATATTTCATTCATAACTTTAATAGTGATTACATATTGAAACGGTAATGTCTAGGACATTTTAGATTAAATAAGATACATGATGAAAGTAATTCCACTTATTTCTTTTTCATGCTTTAGAAAATGTGGCTACTAGAAAATTTAATATTAGAGATGGGGCTTGGATTATATTTTTGTTAGACAACACTAGTCTGGATCTAACTACCAGTTCATACCAGTTTACATAAAATGAAGGGGAAAGGAACATATTAAATGACACTATAGACATGCAATAGTTAAATCCAGAGTGTGGGGAATTCTACAAAACAAATGGTTCGGTTCCTTTAAGAATTCAACTAGCTGTTTAAAGAAAGAGATAACAGGAGAGAGAATTGTTAAAAATTAAGAGAGACCTCAGTGTGGCGCTGTAGGATCAGTATTGGGCTGCTAGCCACAAAGTCAGTGGTTCAAACAACCAGCTGTTCCTAGGAAACGCTATATAGAGGTTGCTATGAGTAGGAACCAACTGAACAGCACTTAATGACAATAACAACAACAACATGGTGCTGTAGATCAGGTGTTGGACTGCTAACTGAAAAGGAGCTGCTGGTGAGCTTGACCCGCCAACATTGCAGTTCAAACGGCTTTGCAGTCTGGCGCATTAACCCACAGCGCCACACCAGGACTCCATTTAGAGTCCCATAGAGATCATTTTAAGGATGAAATTATATGATGTCTGGGGGTTGTTTAAAAATAAACTGGCGAGTAGGATGAACTGAGGTACACATGAAACGAGATGGATAATTCTTGAAGTTGGATGATAGGCATAGGGTTTCATTGTACTATTCTCTCTGTTTTTGAACATATTTGAAATTTTCAATGGTAAAACAAGTCTAATAGGATAAAAAATATTTTGTAAGAGCACAAGGGGAAGGGCTGATCACAAAAGGGATGTTAGTGGAGAGAATTTTGGGGGGCCATGAAATTGCTTTACATATTTTTAATTTTTGAGTTTCAGTCTTAGAGGGGGGGTTTGTCCTGAAGGGACTTGATTGCTTGCCTTGATGCTTCCTGGTGAACAACTTGCTTATTATTATTATTTTAAATGCTTTATTGTGAATTATGTGATAGCTTACAAGGGAGAACATTAGCTTTACATTCATCCTATCGTATATTGTTACATTGCCATGGTTACAATCCCCTCTATGCATCATCAAACAACCAAAGGGTTACCTCTGTCCCATTTAGCCCATGCAAACCTCTCTCAATGTGCTTTATATTTATAATACAGTGGTAATTACATGGCTTTCTGCATTTGTCAAATTGTATGGAATTGTGCATCAAGAGTATGGGTTTTACTGCATGTAAGTTATAAGTTAAAAAACAATTTATTAGAGATATAAAAGAAATAACTCATTGCCATCGAGTCAATTCCAACTCCCAGTGATATTATAAGACAGAGCAGAGCTGCGTCATAGGGTTTCCATAGTGATCTTTATGGATGCAGATTGCCACATCTTTTCTCCTCAGCACCACTGATGAGTTCCATCTGCCAACCTTTGGGTTAGCAGCTGAGCACTTTAATCACTGTACCACCAGGGTTCTTATAAAAGGCATAGCACTCCAAAAGAGGACCACAGACAGGCTTTTTAAGTTCAAACTCAGACTTAGACTAGTTTTTATTTAACCTCTGGGACTTCAATTTCCTTATCTCCAAAATAAGAATATTGCTTTATAAGGTACTGGGGTGGCTTTGTGCTGTCTAGTTGATTGTAACTTATGTGATGATTAAATGAGATAATGTATGTAACTTATTTAGTATAATTAACTGTTAGCATTGGTTACTATTCTGTTGTTGTTGTTAAGCACCATGGAGTTGGTTAGGACGCATAGTGACCCTGAAGAGGGTTTCCAAGGTGTTGGGTTTGAACTGCCTACCTTGTAGTTAGCAGTCCAGGGCTTATCCTACAGTGCCATCAGGGTTCCTTTATCACACGGCTCAGTGGTTATCAAATGTGGCTGCAAATTGTAATCACCTGGGGAAGCATTTTAAACCTCCATCCATTCACACCACAGCCTGGGCCAATTAAACCTCTGGAGGTGAGAGCCAGGTGATTCCTATGTGCTATATGAGTATAGCTCAGCAGACAAACTGCCTGACTCCAAATTCCTGCCCAGACACTTCCTGGTTGTGGGATGCTGGGTGAAATACTTGACTTCTATGAAGGCTTTTGTAGAAAATGAGTGCTGAAAATGTTAGTACTTATATAGGATTGTCTTGAGTTTTAAATAAGATAATGTATGCAAATAACTTAAAATAAGGCAGTAATTCTATACCAATGATTATCAACTCACAATTTTTCTGAGTGCTCCTTAGAAGTGAGAATGGTGAGACTTTACCTTATTTACTTTAGCCGTGTTATCAGGAGGAACCACCCCTGGAGAAGGGCCTGGTCAGTGAAAAAGCAAAAGACTGTCAATGAACTGGATGGACACAGTGACTTGCAACAATGCAATCAAACAGCAAAGATTGTGAGGATGGTGTAGGACTGAGTGCTCTTTTGTTTTGTTGTAAATACAGTCGCTAGGATTTGGAACTGACTGGATGACACCTAGCAACAGTAACAACAGTTTTATATAATTCCTCTGGGAGACATTCCCAACCTTGGGTCCTCCATCACTCAGCCAGTGAACTTCCTGTACTGACCTGTAACATTCCTTCTTTCATATGTTGCTGTTAAGTGCTGTTGAGTTGGTTCCAACTCTTAGTGACCCTGTATAGCATTTCTGAGGAGCGGCTGGTGAGTTTGAACTGCCGACCTCCCGGTTCAAACCGACCTTGCAGTCCAGTGCATTATTCCACAGTGCCACAAAAGGTATACACACATGCCTCACCCCCTTGAAGTTTAACTTCTCTCAGGTGTCTGTGTTTTCCCAATGAGATCATAGCATCCTGAATTAGTAGACGATTGTCTTCAAGCCTCACCAGTCCTGATACCCAATGCCCAAGTGCTACAAATTGTAAAGATTACTGAGCACCAAACTGCTTATAGTCTGGGTGGTGGGGTGCAACTCGCTTGTCCTCAGTAAATCTATCTCTTCGTCTGTAAAATGGAAATAATCCATATATGATTTGTGAAAATTACAGGCATGTGTATACATCTTCTAAATGGTCCCACTAGCAGGTCCTCGGAGTCCTGATGTAGCACTGTAGGATAAGCACTGGACTGCTAATCGCAAGGCTGGCGGTTCAAACACACCAGCACTCCGCGCAAACACTATGCTGGCTCCCTAGAAAGCAGAACCCACTGGACCGCAGAACAGCAGGTCGTCAGGAAACAGCTTCCGCGAGCGTCCACCAGGTGGCAGCATGCGGCGGCCAACTTGCTCGCTACTCTTGACGTCAGCCGGGACGCTCCTCCTAGTGACCCGGGCAGAGGGCGGCGTGGGGGCAGCGTCCGGCTCTCGGCTGGCGGTGCGGCCGGGAGTTTCGGGGCCGCACGATGGGTGCTGAGGCCTTGGGGAGTGGGCCGGCGCTGCGGGAGCTCGTGCGCGAGGCCGAGACCAGCCTGCTTGAGTGCAAGGTGTGCTTTGAGAGGTTCGGCCACACCCAGCAGCGGCGCCCGCGCAACCTGCCCTGCGGCCACGTGGTCTGCCAGAACTGTGTGGCCGCGCTGGCGCACCCGCGGACGCTGGCCCTCGAGTGCCCCTTCTGCCGGCGAGTCGGCCGGGGCTGCGACACCAGCGACTGCTTGCCCGTGCTGCACCTCCTGGAGCTGCTGCGCCCCGCGCTTCGCCGGGCTCCGGCTGCCCTCAGCACCGGGCCCTGCGCCCCCGGAACTCTCACCTGCCACCACACCTTCGGCGGCTGGGGGACCCTGGTTAACCCCACCGGGCTGGCGCTGTGTCCCCAGACGGGGCGGGTCGTGGTGGTGCATGACGGCAAGAAGCGGGTCAAGGTCTTCAACTCCGAGGGAGAATGTGTCCATCAGTTTGGAGAGAAAGGGGAGGCGGCCCAAGACATTAGGTACCCACTCGATGTCACTGTGACCAACGACTGCCATGTGGTTGTCAGCGACGCCGGTGACCGATCCGTCAAAGTGTTTGATTTTTTGGGCCATATCAAGCTCGTCATTGGGGGCCAGTTCTCCTTACCTTGGGGAGTGGATACCACGCCCCACAATGAGGTCTTGGTGACTGATGCGGAGGCAGGGTCCCTGCACCTCCTGGAAGTTGATTTTCCCGAAGGGATCCTTCGGAGAGCTGACAGGATGTACTCGCATCTGTGCAGCCCCCGAGGGGTGGCAGTGTCTTGGCTCACCGGGACCATTGCGGTCCTAGAGCACCCCCTGACTCCCATGGGGACCCGAGCGTGCAGCACCAGGGTGAAGGTGTTTAGTGCCACCATGCAGTTCATCAGCCAGGTAGATTCTTTTGGACTGAGCCTCTTCTTCCCTTCTAAGATAACCGCCTCCGCTGTGACCTTTGATCATCAGGGGAATGTGGTTGTTACGGATACCTCTAGTCAAGCTGTCCTGTGCTTAGGAAAACCTGAGGAATTTCCAGGACTGAAGCCCCTGGTCACTCAAGGTCTTTCTTATCCTGTGGCTCTGAATTATACCAAGGAGAATTCTCTGCTTGTGCTGGACACTGCTGCCCAGTCTGTCAAAGTCTTTAAGGCTGACTGTGGGTGATGGGGTGACTGAGGCCTGGGACCAGAAGGCTAGGTACTACAACTAATGAATTGTTTAGCCCGGGATAAGCCACTTAACCTCATCTATCTGAGAGGGAAAGTTGAAACTGCTAGGTCAATATACAGATGTGGCAATTATTAAATAATAATAATTAAATCTACGATTCTTTGAATGTGTACTCCCAGTATTAAGAAAATTGCAAACATATACTCGTTGAATCCTTACCCAGTGATGTGGTTGTGTGCATACTTCTGACCCACAGTGACCCTGTCTAGGGTTTCCGTGACTATAAATTTTTACAGGAGCAGAAAACCTCATCTTTCTCCCATGCAGTGACTGGTGGATTCAAACTGCTGGCCTTGAGGATAGCAGCCCATTGAGTAACCAACTCTATCACCAGGATCCCTATTATTATTAACCCTGTTTTGGAGATGAGGAAACTGAGGCCCAGAGAATTTAAGTGATTTCCCCAAAGTCACATTCACATACTGTGACATTCAGATTTGAAGTCAATTCTGACTCCAAAACTTCTGGGTCTTAAAGAAGACAACAAATGTGAAATGAATTGTGTCTGTGCAAGAGCTAGTGTTTTCTATATTTACTCTTTTACAAGTAGACACGTTTGTGTTCATTAGATTGCACAAAAAGATTTTTGAGTGACATCAATTCCATTTAACTTGCACCTCCTCTGATGGTGTTTATGATAAAGTTTCTGTGGGTCCTCAGTTACTGGAATAAGGAGATCATTGCTTCTTTTTCATGCCTGTATCTCTTCTATGGAGTCCCTGGAGTGTGCACATAATGTGGTCACTTGCTAACCAAAGAGTTGAAAGTTTGAGTCTAACCAGAGGCACCTCAGAAGAAAGACCTGGCAACCAACTTCCAAAAAATCAGTCATGGAAAACCCTGTGGAGCACAGTTCTGTGCAGACACACATGGGATTGCCCTAATCAGAGTCAACTCTGCGGCAACTAGGATTTTTTGTTTTTAAATGATCTTCTCTACTATAGGTACTTAGGAAACACGAACATGATAGTTTATTTGAAAAAGGCCTAAGTTCTGAAGTTGGCATAAATTTTAATCCACTCTGTAGTGCTAATGTCAGAGGGTCAGATGATAACTCCTGTTGTATGTTTATGTTCATAAAGAGATAAGACATCTTAAGAGATTCCTGACAGAAATGATTTTTGCCTGCCTTTTTATAACTGAAGCACTCTGTGTTTTTTCCTCTGTGCAGTTAAAATTTGTCCCATTTTTTGCAACCATTCTGTACTCAACAATTTGCCTGCTCATAAGTCAGCCTTTAGACCACTGTGTATAGAGTTGTGGGATAATGCACTGGACCACAAGGTCAGTTTGAACTTCAAGGTCAGCTGTTCAAACTCATCAGCCACGCCTTGGAAATTCTATACAGTGTCACTAAGAGTCGGGAACTGATTCGAAGGCACTTAACAACAACAAACACTTAAATACTTCTTGGAGTTTAACTTTCACCTAGATAATGCCTGCTTAAGGTTGCATCCAGCAACCTTAGGCTGAATGGTGGAAATTTCCGGTAACGCAGCCGGCTGATGTAATGTTCTTAGCTAATGTAAACTACTTACCTTCCAGGGCTGTTTGAATAGTACTAAGTACTGGAACCTCAGAAGAAGCAGCAAAAAATATTCTTAAGACATTTTCTTGAGGAGAAAATCAATGATTTTGAAAGGTGAGGGCCTGCTGAAGGAAATAGCTGATGCTATGTCAGTACCTGGATTCTATTCTACAAAGAGTTTCTATAAAATGTACATAATGTGTGTACTAGAAGCAGCCTCCAAATTATGAATATGTTACAAAAGACTGTAAGTTTGTCCTTTAGAGTTTTGGCTCCCATGCCACTCCACAAAAGCCTCTTTTGTTTCCATTGTTTCTGTCACACATCAGCACAAGTAAGATTTCAAGTGTCCTAGACCACCATTTGTAAATGCATTCTAAATAGGGCCTCCAGAGATAACTTCCCCCTCCCCATCACTTCACACACAGCCCACCTATAGAAGTCCCTTAGGTCCGTGACTTCACAGGTGTTCCACCTTGTGTAACAAGTCCCAGGTAGAGAGGTGAATTCCACCTGGGCCATTGGTGAGTTGAGCATGATTTCTCTCTAAAACCTTAGGAACGATGGCTTTTTAATGGTTTCAGAGCAGTTGAGCCCATTCAAAGGACTTTTTCCTACTTGGAATGATCCATGGCATCATCTTTGACCAAGATGCTGTGTGTGTGCTGTTTTCAGACATGTGTACTGGCTGGTGAAGTCGTGAAGGTTGCAACATGTGTGGAAGTGTGTGAGCAAGGTGTTGTTTGTTACTGTGCAGATTGAGAAACCAGTCTGTGGGGTAATGTGTGAAAGTATCAGAGACTTGATAAAACTGCCTTGCTCACTGATGCCTCTCCTCCTATATTATCAGGCTTTGGGGGAGAGGTGGGATGGGACAGGCAGCCTGAAGTGTCTGAAACTCCTCACCCCAGGAAACCAGGAACCCTGTAATCTGCAGAGGAGCAAAGTTTTGCTTGGGAAGACAAAAGCCTCAGTGTCCCTGTAAGATGCTAAATTCCTCTTTAGGATTTAGTTCTTTCAATGCAAACTGGTTAAAAAGGCTTGAGAGATCTATCACACTGAAATCTCCTGGATGGGAGAGTTCTGAAATAGGCAAGAAGAAGTAGTCACAGCAGAAAGCAAAAGGTTCCAAGGTGATAAAGGAGAGATGGACTCACACAGCTTTAGGCAGGCTGGCCCACCTGGAGAGTCTCAAAAAGCCAACACAGCTCAAACCTCAGCAGTTCTCACATCCCTCTCCATCTGTTCTAGTTTTGTCCAATTCTTGATCTTTATTAGATAAAACTGGATTGTTTCCTGTTTTTGACCTTGTCCCCTAAATTGGCTGTCTCAATCTTTTTCCTTGACATTTTCTAAGGACCTTAATTCGGATTCATCAATCTCCTCTCTAGCAAGTCTCACTCTGGATCCCAGGATCCAAACCATCACCCCATGCTAATACCCTATCTAGACCTTTCATGGCTCCCACGAAGTGGAGTGCAGGTCCCCCGGAAAGTGAGTGATGCATCTTTGGAGGAAGAGGCAGTATCTCCTACATCATGGGAAAATGAGGAAGAGCCACTGCTGAGAGCAGGTTTAGTCATCCCTACTCCTGTCACATATCAGAAATAATGTTTACCTGTGCTTTATTGACGCAAACGCTTTCGATTGTATGGATCATGACAAGCTATGGACAACAATGCAAAGTATGAGATTCCAGAACACTTAATTGTGCTCATGAGGAATCTGTACGTGGACCAAGAGGCAGTTGTTCGAACAGAACATGGGAACACTGAATGTTTTAAAATTAAGAAAGGTGTCTGACAAGGTTGTATTCTTTCACCATACTTATTCAACCTGTAAGCTGAGCAAATAAAACGAGAAGCTGGGTTATATGAAGAAAAACGTGGCATCAGGATTGGAGGAAGACTCATTAACAACCTGCCATATGCAGATGATACAACCTTGCTTGCTGAAAGTGAAGAGGACTTACTGATGAAAATCAAAGAGCAGCACAGCCTTCAGTATGGATTACATCTCAATGTCAAGAAAACAAAAATCCTCACCACTGGACCAATAAATAAAAGATTGAAGTTGTCAAAGACTTCATTATTTTTGGATTGACTATCAACACTCACGGAAGCAGCAGTCAAGAAATCAGATGACATATTGCATTAGGCAAATCTGCTGCACAAGACCATTTTAATGTGTTGAAGATTAAAGATGTCAGCTTGAGGACTAGGGTGCACCTGTCCCAAGCCATGGTATTTTCAATAACCTTATATGCATGCAAAAGCTGGACAGTGAATAAGGAAGATCATAGAAGAATTGATGCTTTTGAGTTATGGTGTTGGAGGAGAATACTGAAAGTGCCATGGGCTGCCAAAAGAACGAATAGATTCGTTTTGGAAGAAGTGCAGATAGAGTGTTCCTTGGAGGCCAAGATGGCCAAACTTTGTCTCTCATACTTCAGACATATTGTCTGTCAGGAGGGACCAGTTAGTTGCTGGAGAAAGATATCATGTTTGGTAAGGTGGAGGGTCAGAGAAAAAGAGGAAGACCCCCAACGAGATGGATTGGCCAAGTGGCAGCATCGATGGACTCAAACGTGGCAACAGTAATGAGGTTGGCCCACGATTGGGCAGTGTTTCGTTTTGCTGTGCATAAGGTTGCTATGAGTCAGTACCAACTCAATGGCACCTAACAACAACAACTGCCACAAGGAGCTCTATTAGCATAGTAGTTATGAGTTGGACTGCTAACCTCAAGGTCAGCAGTTCAAAACTGCCAGCCATTTTTGCAGGAGAAAGATGAGGCTTTCTGCTTCCATAAAGATTTATAGCCTTGGAAATCCTGTACAGGGTTGCTGAGTCGGAATTGACTCCACAGCACACTACCACAACCACCACCCACCCCTGCCATAGAAAGAAGAAATGGCTATTGTATGGGACAAATTGTAACTGGAGATGAGTCTTGGATGTATCAATAGGATCAAGAGAACATGGTCCAATCAAAATGGATTGGGGATCTGCTTCCAAGGGGATCTGCTGGGTCAGTTAAATTCAAGGCAGAGAAATCAGCTCATCAGGTTATAGAGATTATTTTTGGGGATTCCAAAGGGTAATCTTGATCAATTTTCTTGAAGGACCTAAGACAATCATGGGGACTTATTATGAGTTTTAGGAAAAATTTAAAAACTGCATAGTGATAAAAAAACGCCAGGAAATTTGTGCCAAAGAATTTTTTCCCCCCCATCATGACAATGTACCTGCTCAATCTTCGAAGGTAACAAGGACTTTCCTGTGAGATTGTCACTGGAAAGCCTTCCCCCATCCACCTTACAGCCCTGGCTTTGCTTCTTCAGACTTCTTTTTGTACCCCAAACTCAAAGAACATTTCAGAGCTACACAGTTTGAGTCTCTTGAAG